GCGCGTCAGCGGCGAGCGAGCNCGGGGGGGGGGGGGGATAGGCAGATGAAGACGTCAGATCGATCGATAGGCAACGCCGCGCCGTCGGCCACGCCAAGCGCGAGACTCACGCTGATACCGTTGGCCGACAGGTCGCCCAGCGCCTCGGGGTTGTTCCACAGGTTGGCAATGGCACGAAGGGCGAGCATCGAGTTGACCTCCCTCGCCTTGACCTCGGGCGACCCGGCCGCCGGCCAGTCCTGGCTCCACTCGGACGCCTCAAACGCCGTCCGCGCCACGTCGACGGCGTCGGCCGTCACCGGGTGCGCCACGGCGCAGCGGAACAGGTCGAACACCGGCAGCCGCGAGGCCGGCTTCCACGCCGCCAGCGCCTTTTGCAGCGGGCCCACGTCGAGCCGGCCCGACGTCTGCTTCTGCTGCACCGCCGCCGCGACGCGGTCGACGGCGTCCAGCTCGTCCTGGCTCAGCTGGGTCGACTCCTCGCCGTTGAACTGCCGCAGCTTCTCCTTGACCGCGGCCAGGTTGGTCGTCGCAAATGTGAGAAAGGCGCGCTGCGGCAGCACGCCCTGGGTCGCCGCCCGGCTGGGTTGGGCAGAGCTCGTGAACGGGTCGACGTTGTTGCCGCCCGTGTACTGGCCGCCGGTAGTCGGCGCCGAGAATGCGGGCGGTGCAGCAGCGCCTGCCCCTCCTCCGCCACCGCCGCCGCCCGTGTACCGGCTGGCACCAGTGTACGGGTCGACGTACGACGAGGTGGCGCCGATGTTGACGCCCTCGGTGTTCTTGTCGATAAACTGGACGACCTGCTCGACGTACTCGCTCGACAGCTCGTTGGCCTCGAGGAAGCGCTGGGCGGCGGCGTACGGGTTCTCGCTGAGGTTGTACGGCAGCTTGAGGGGCGGCACGCCGTCGGCGATGTCGACGTCAAAGACGTAGTCGTACTCCTTGCCCTCGTGCAGCTTCTTCTGGCCGCTGCCCACGCCGCCGACGACCTCGCCGATCTTGACCCAGCTGCCCGACGCCGTGCTCCACTGGTGCGCCTCGACGACGTCGCCGTTGCGCACCATCTTGGTCTGGCCCTCCTTGGCGCCCGGCTGGGCGAGCGCCTCGGGCCCGGGCAGGTCGTCCTTGCGCACGTCGCCCACCTGCGTCTTGTTGAGCGCCTGCGAGGCGATCGTGTGCTCGTAGGCCTGCAGCTCGGCCGCCTC